AAAAAACAATTGAAGCATTCGTGGTGTCCTTATTAGCTTCAGTTAGAGGTGGTAATTAGTGTTCAGGGTAGAGCTGGCTTCGAGTTAAGAGTTATTTTGAGTTTTGGTTGTTTCGGCTTCTAATCATTTAGAATTTGGACTTTTTGAATTTGAATTATAGTGTGTTTGGATTATTTCAAGTTCGATTCCTTTCTAATTCAGGTAGAGTCGCGCGAGCTTCATGTTAATTTCAAATTTCTATAGTTATAGATATTTTTATAAATTTAAATGTAATAAATAATTGTTTTTTGTTTCATAATTGTGTGGATACAATTTCTTTTGAAAATAAAAAAGGAAAAAGTTTGTATGAATACAAAAGTAAATCACTTTATATATATATATATATATATATATAAGGGAAAAAGATCAAAAGAATTTATTACATCATCCTAGATCATGATATTTTTAGATTGTCTGCAAATAAAAAAAATTATCACGTTGTGTGTCATAAGTCAATCTTATATCGGATTATGATAGTGTAGAATTGTCTAAGAGATTGAGTCTTTTATACCTGTCAGGGAAATGTCTCTCTTTCAAATAATGCAATGGCTCATGGTGGCACATTCACAAATAATTGTTAAGTTTTAAAGGGAGGGAAGACCCTTTAAAAAAGAAATGTCCTCATTTCAAGTATTGTAATGGTTATTGGTTGAATACTTGTAAAATCTCATAAACTCTTTACAGGGAGTGAGTAGTCAGTGGATTGTTGGACTCTTCACCAGTAAATGTGTGTTTGTAGCGAATCATCTAGCGTTACCTCTATGGCCCGACGATGGTGCTTCTCGATCCCTTTATAATTAATTTCATATTAATAAAATATTTTTTTATAATTTAGTTGTTGCATATATGGCATTTGGTATGCCTTTTGATTTTAATGCAGATTCTTTTAGTTTGATTTATTGTTATTATTAATCTTGGATTGGATATAATAGAGTATTGGTTAACTTGCTGGAAACGTCCACTCAAGTGCCGCATGAACTATCGCATACTTAGGCGAAGGAGAGTAGTTTGTGACAATTGATATCAAAATACATGCGAGACGTGTTGATTTGAAGTGTACAAATGGTGATCACGGGGAGTGAACCAGAAGACCATTAGAGGATTGATGAGTTAGAGGCCGCGGTGACTGCAGTAAAAGCTCAAATGGTTCCACATGAATGAATAGATGACATTGAGACAGTCTAGTGGGAATTGTCCGAGATGATTAATACCCTAAGTGATGAGACTAAGGATGCACTGAGTATTCTCCAAGGTGAGATTGGAGAATTGAAAGCTCAGGTAAATATTTTGGTTATGGCTACAGGTAATGCTCATGAAAGTCTGGGAGATCGAGGTAAAAGGGCTAAAGTGTTGGAATCTAAGCGATACAAAGGGGTCTAAGATGCTAAGGAGTTAAAAAACTTTCTTTTTGATATGAAACAATATTTTCGAGCTATGCGCACAGAGTCGGAGGAGGACAAAGTGACGATGGCTTCAATGTATCTTGTTGGGGACACAAAGTTACAAAAAGGCCATAAAGGATGGCTCCCTCAAAGTTAGCAGTGATAAGGAAATAGTTAGACGAGCTTATTCAAGCTAGATTCATCCAACCATCAAAAGCACCCTTAAGAGCCCTAGTATTTTTTCAGAAAAAGCAGGATGGGAGTTTATGATTATGCATGGATTATCGGGCTTTGAATAAAGTCATAGTTAAGAAGAAATATCGTATCCCTTTTATAGCTAATCTCTTTGACCAGTTAAGTGGTGCAAAGTACTTTTCCAAGCTAGATTTAAGATCAGGTTACCATCAAGTAAGAGTGATCGAGGGAGATGAGCCAAAAACCACTTACATAATGTGGTATGGTCCATTTGAATTTCTCGTTATGCCTTTGGGACTAACCAATACTCCTGCTACTTTTTGCACTTTGATGAACCAGGTATTTCATGATTATTTGGACAAATTAGTGGTAATCTACTTAGATGATATTGCAATGTACAATTCGACCTTAGAGGAACATCAATGCCACTTGTGACAGGTCTTCCAAAGGCTATGCGACCACCAGTTTTATGTAAAAAGAGAGAAATGTGCATTTACGGAAACCTAAATCCAGTTTCTTGGCCACATAATTGAACAAGGGCACATATGAATGGACATGCAAAAGGTGAAAGCTATTGAAGAATGGGCCACTCCTAAGAATACAACTGAGCGTCATTCTTTTTTAGGGCTAGCCAATTATTATCGGAGATTTGTATAAGGATGTTCATAAAAAGCAGTAGCACTGACAGAATTGCTGAAGAAGGGATAGAAGTGGACTTGGACACCATAGTGCTAAAAAGCCTTCGAAGGTTTGAAAGACACGATGATAATGAATCCTGTGTTGTCGTTCCCCAATATTAGAAAGCCTTTTGAGGTACAAATGAGCATCAGACTTTTCCCTTGGAAAAGTGTTGCTACAAGAAGGACATCCAGTTGCATTCGAAAGTTGGAAGCTAAATGACGCTGAGACGAGATACACGACATATGAAAAAGAACTACTTGCAATTATTTACTATTTACAGGCTTGGCGACACTACTTACTAAGATCAAAATTTGTGGTTAAGACTGACAATACAACCATAAGTCACTTCTTCACACAGCCAAAACTTATAGCTAAGCAAGTAAGATGACAAGAGTTGCTAGTCGAGTTTGATTTCTTCTTCAAGCATAAAGCTAGAAAAGCAAATCGTGTACGATTTAAATTTATAGGAAAATGACCAAAGTTAAAAAAACCCTGGACAAATTAATTTCACCATGTTAGGGCCAATGTCCATCCAAATTTTTTTCTAGAAAAAGCTACCTGGAAATCCATCAAAGCTATGACTTTTGTTAGGATTCATACTAAACAAAGCATCCTTAACTTCTTGATATTCAATTAGTTTAGACATTGCATCAATTGTTTCAGTACTGAGTCTCCAATGAATATTTCTGAGTAACGATTCCACAATTCCATCATCTGCATATAGCTCTTTATAAAACTGAACAACCATTTCTTCCAATTCTGTCTTATTATTACACCAAGAACCATCATCTCTCTTAAGGGAAGAAATTCACTTTCTTCTCTGTCTTCCTTTAATGACAGCATCATAAAATTTTGAATTACAATCTCCATGCTTTAGCCAATTTGTTTTCACCTTTTGTTTCCACATTAACTCTTCTTGATACAGAATTAAATTAAATTACTCAACCAAAGAAATTTATAGATTTTCCAAGTAGTCATTTAGCCCTTTTCCTAAATGCTTTTGGATTCTTTGAGGCCTCACCAATAATCTTCACTTACGCTTATAAATGTCCCTAAAAGAATCAAATCACCATTTATCTAAACATTAGCTAAATCACGCAGAGTTGCAATAATATTCGTTTTTTCTAAGCTTTAATTATTTTTGATAAATTTTGAAAATTTTGTATGTGACTTCCAAACAGTCTTAAAATGAAAATTACGAGAAAGATGGCTACTTGGGTCTAGTTGATGACAACGAGCTAATATAGGATGATGATTTGAATGTGTACGAGGTAAATTAAGTATCTCAGCATTTGAAAACTCGTCAGACCAAGTTGTATTTACTATTGCTTTATCCAATTTTTCCCCGTAGGTAGGCCAAACCATCACGTTTGCACTAGGCAAATTTCAGACCAAAGCCACCCAAAACAAATAGATTGTAGTGGCTCATACAATCTATAAACTGATTGCAATGAGACAAATTCACACCCCGACGACCTTTCTTTTTGTCTGGCGATATTGCTTGATTAAAATCCCCTATCACTAACCATGACAAATTGTGTAAAGTACTAGCCCAATGGAGAGATGAAGCAAGTACCTCAATTTCCACAAAAGTTGAATTCCCCTTAAGAAACCATTAGCTTTAACCTGATAGAAATTTGGAAAACCAATACGACCACAAATCTGGTCTGCTTTTAGGCTAGAGATTTTTAATTCTAAGATAACCAACAGATACAAATTATACAGTCTAATCAAATTCTTGACATTTCGAACACATTTTTGGAAAGCCACTCCTCTAACATTTTAACTCACCAAATTCATCATATATGAAACGCTAGTAAATAAAGGAAAAAAAACACACACTGAAATAACGTCAATTTAATACAATGGGATGAATAAGACATATTATTTAGATATTAAACCAGCATAATATCAATCTTACCATCTATAGCTCCCGTCTCATCATTTGACACATATTCAAGATCTATCATATTTGAATTTTCTTCATTTTTTTAAGTGGACTTTCTCTCTTGCTCTACCATTGATACCGACCCCCACTTTACCATTGTCCGCACCTATATCACATGTCGAATAGGTGGTTTTATTTGGTATAGTAGCTAGCACATGCAGACTATGCATAACTGCTCCTTTAGTCGTAGTAGCATTCTCCTGTTTACCATCTTTAGTCGCCACAATAGCTAGCTCATTTCCATCCTTATTCACTGCTACTTTCTTCTACTTCTCAGCTAATTCAGATGTAGCAATTTTTATTCCCTTTTACGGTCGGTTCTTGTTAGTTATACTAGCAGAGGCCTGCAAAATTTTCTTTAGAGAGTCATTATCATTCCCACTTACTTGTTTGCCTCTATGACCCACTGCTTGCACTGGAGCCTGGGTTTCCAGAGACTCAGGAACAAACTCTTCCTTGTCTTGATTATCCTGCACTTCATGCATAATATAAAAGCAAGACCCAAATCGAGTCGTAGCAGAGGGCGCAACGCCTTGATTAGACTCTTGAGCTTTGGGTTTAAATCTTTCAGCCACCTTGGTTTCCTTACTTCTCTTGTAAATATTTTATACAACCATCCATGGTCCAAATTTTGAAGATTCGGCTTTATTCTCATGATCTACATTTGAAGCTACCACTTTAGGAACTTGATCTACCAAAACAACTTTAGGTTCTGTTGATTTCATTGCGCAACCTTCGGAGCTATGCCAAAACCTTCCACAGTGGAAACACGAGTCTTAGCCCCTCATTCTCCGCCCGTGGCCACCTTCCACCAAAGTGTACTCTAGGAACTAAGGGTTGATCTAAATCTATCTCCACACATAGTTGTGCGAATCTACCCCTTTTAGCTTGCGTCGTGTTACGATCATTTTTTAGGACTTTGCCCAATTTATTGCCGATCCTCGCCAAGACAAATTTATCATAGAATTCAAGGGGCATCCTAGGTAATTGAATCCAAGAAACTATTGATTCTATTGACACCTCATCTAATCTAAACGTCGGTGCCCACTTCCTGATTGTCAAGTAATGGCCTGCTATAATCCTTGGTCCTTCAGATAAAACATAATCGTAGTTCGACTTACTATTGAGCCGGAAGCAATAAAAAGCCATCGTCTAGATCTACGGCTTCGAATTCTCCCACCAGAGACCAGAGTTGTTTAACCCTATTACTCACGTATGTGTAGCTGATGTCTCTACCAAGCAGCTTGACAATAAGAGTATTTCTCCAAGGTTGTCTAATTCTTCTTTTCTCCTCCTTGGTCAAGCCTATATACGGACCTTCATTTGCTATTTCAGACATGTCATCATCCGAATAAGAGTCAACTAGTATTTCACCTTCTTCCTTAGATTCAATACCACCTAGGGGTGGCCCTTGGTCATCATGCATTAGGATGTTTCGATAGGATGATTTCATATTATCATCCTATGTTAATTTCGGCGCACTGGACCTGCCTCTTTTTTATCCAACTTTATTCACCCACTCCTGAGCCATAGTTGCCGGCGGCGGATCCCTAGTGGAGTCCGCCTCCATGTAGACAAAACGGTGGGGCTAGGTTTCCTTTAGGAACGATTCAAGTTAGCAAATAAAAATTACCATGCGCCTTAGTTTTAAGGTTTTTTTTTTCTTTTTTTCTAAAGTAAATCAGTTTTTGAAGAATAAAAATCGAAATATTTAATTTTCTATTCTTTGAACATTAAATTACAAGTTGAAGTAAAACTTAGGATAACAATCAAGCAAATATTTTTGTTTTTGAAGGGAATTCAAACCTTGTTGTTGAATGTGAGGTAAATAACTTTGATTAAGCCAGATAATCAGGTGTTATAATCAAGTTATTGTTAACATAAATAGCCTTATAAAAGAAATTAATAAAATCTGAACAAACAGATATACCAAAATAAATTTTGATGAAGAAATCCATTTAATAGTAAAATGTGGACATGAAACTTTTTAAAGTTTCATTTAGGACCTTTGACACAAAGTCTTATTGACAGAAAACTCAATTTTTATGAATAATGAAAGGCATGATGTTATCTTTATATGGAATAATTACGTTTAAATTGATTCATTTTAATCATTTCGTCATTTTTTAAGAAAAAAAATCTTTCTTTTACTACATAATTTATTAAAAAATTAAAAATAATTAAAATTATAATCAAATGAACTTGTGGCAACATTTTAAATCTATTTATAAAATTTAAAAATTCCTCATCGTTTATGTATAGAATAATAATTTTTTTACTTTTTTTTTTAAGTTTTGAGGAAGTAAAAACAAACAATAGCAAAAACTAAATTGTAAAAGTGACACTAAATGAAACATAAGCTTTTCTTTGACTATTACTTTAATTACTTGCTTTTCCATTTGCTCAAAAGTTGTGAAAAAGACAAAAATTAATGTAAAAGCAAATTCAATAACTTTTTTAAAAGTAAATTCAACCATATTCTATAAAAATAGATCAAATAATTAAAATATAACACACTTCTTAAAGTCATTGTTTGATATAAAAGTAAATTAAATCATGGGTTTTGATATTTATAGACTAATTATAAAAAAAAATTTACGGACTTTAATTTGTATTTTAATTATTAAAAATATTACTGTATAATATCTTTTGCTTTCTGCTTACACAAAAGTTAAAAGTAAATTATAAACGTAGGTGGTAACCAAATACATGCTGTGTCTCCTTAATAATGTGCATTGCTCTGTCTTGTATCTGTGGCGAAAGGCAGCCTTTACCGGCAAGGGGGAGTGGGAGAAGAGTTCTGACTATTGTCTCCTTCAAGCGCAGCAGCACTGTTATCTGAGAGAGGATACTTATAACCGAAAGCGCGGCAGCATTATTTACCTTTGATGGCATGCGTCTAGCTCTCGGAGAGACAATAAAACTTTTCCACGCGTAGAGGAATGGGCAGGCTGCAACTATATATATATATGTATATATATATATGTATATATATATGTATGTGTATATACACATACACATATACATATATATATGTATATATACATAGAACAAACAACAAGATCATGAGTTAATTCTCCAGAGTAGTCACTTTAACTTAAACCTGATATTAGAAGAAGATGTTCTAATAGCAAATGGATTGACTGGTCTTAATTTCGCAATCTCCTCCATCGTTTGTATAGTAAGTACTACTCTTTTAGTTTTTAAAAGGAGTGAAGTTTCACATCTTTGAATGGTTAATAACTATAAAAAACTAGCATTCATTACGTGTATATTCCAGTTGCTATAAGTAGTCCAATACCCCAGTTGGTAAGCAGTGGATGTCTATTTGAAAAGCTGAGCCATGTAGCAATATTGGGTGGCAGGATCCAACCAAACTTTTGTTAGGATAACTTTAGCCATCCCTTGTTCTCCTGTTTTTTAGTAACTCCCTTGTGCATTTGCACGTTGGTGGTAGCAGACTAGCAAAAGAAGATAAGCATAGAGCAATGATTGATTATGGAGAGGCCTTTCCTGTCTTCCATAGCTGCTCAGTTTGGCCCCCACTTCTGCTTCCTGATATGAAGATTCAGTTATATGTACTTACCGAATAGAATATTACTATTATATAAATAAATGTAGATGCCTCTAGTTACAGCAGATTAGCGTGTTCTTTTGCTACTAATTCAGACTTCGTTGCTCAAACAACTTAGTCAAATGGATTCAAATGCACCAGGCTTTGTTCTAAACACTTCGACTCTCCGCTCAGTTTATTATCAAGGCAAGGAAGGCAATGGTATTATTGATCTTGGTCTTAGTCTGAGGGCTTTACAGCCTGAAGCCTACCATCCGTCTAGACATAGTATGTCTGCCTTGGTTTTCTAATTTTTAATTTCCCCCTTTGTTTTGGTCAATATTTGCGTTTCATAGTAGTATGATAGACGGATTACTTCTTTGGTTCTGTTCGAAAAGTTCCAATGTTCTAACGAGAACTCTTTAATTTGAGTCAGTGGCAGGCCTGGAAGGATACAATGATCTGATAAGTTGGCCCCAGGCTAACTCACAGATGAAAAGCTCGAACACTGGATATTCAAGGCTGGTAGCAGAAGATTGTGATGATGAGGCAGAGGGGGTCCAGCGCAGAGAGAAGCGGGCTTATGTCAAGGTTACCATGGACGGGGTTATGGTTGGTCGCAAAGTTTGCATGCTTGATCATGGAGGTTACTCAGGCCTTGCACGTCAACTAGAAGAAATGTTTGGTAGTTAGTAGAAGTCATTCTCAGGAGTTAGGTTGATATTCTCTGTTTTAGAAATTATTAATAGGATCGTAAACATTATTGCCTGCAGGGAGGCAAAACGCATCAGGGTTAAGGCTGTTTGAAGCTGAGTCCAAGTTTTCCTTGTTATACAAGGACATGGAGGAAAATTGGAAGAATGTTGGCGATGTGCCGTGGAAGTAAGCTATTCATCATTTATACCATAATCTATCATAAACTGGCAATTCCTTTTTGTTTTCAGACTAAACACAAGTGGAAAGCGGAAATGTGGAGCATGCCGCTAATATATCTTTTATTGAATTTTAATAGGGAGTTCGTGAAACTTGTGAAACGGCTGAGGATTTCGCGAAAGAATGAATGAAGCTGATCTTTGTCCTTGTTCATCGTCATTCAACTGATTTATTGCTCCTGCTCCCTGCTTTATATGGTTTTTAAAATTTGTTTGGATTCCTGAAACTTAGAAGTGACCACCAACTAGAACAGGGAAAAAGAGAAAATGTCAGGTGAAAATGTTAGCCAGTGAACTTCGACATATTTTTGGATAATTTCTACAGATTGTACCACCCAGTAGCTGTTCTGTTCCACTTTTCATAGTGCAGTAAATCAAATTTTCGCTTAGAAAAATATCAGTTTCCTTTATGTATGTTCTGCTAAAGTTGGTAAATAACTATATCTGTCAGTTCATTGCATGACCAATGCTTAATGCAATGTGACATCCTTTAAACTTCATAAACTCAACCCTTCCCCAAAATTTATGGAATTGGATGAAGCCTGACATATAAATACCACTAATGCTTTGGAAGTGGAACCATTAACTTTAAGGAGCAAAATCAACCTCGTATGAGTGGGTGTTTTTTTGGGTTATGATAATCTGGCTTTCCGTACTTAGCATGTTGCATTTTGCCAAATGCTTTTCTCATCCAAGCTCCATTTATTTTACTTATCTACTAACTTAAATTGTAATCAAATCATAGTATACTTCAAGTTTCAGATTTAAATATAAGTTGTATTGGACGATGTTTGAAGAAAGGGAAATTCAAACATTAAACTATTGTAACTCTTTTACTTGAGGGTAACAACCACAAAGTTTACGCTTGACTTGTTAATTAATTTAAGTTATCATATAGGATAAATTTTGAGTGTGTTAGTTTTTATTTCCAAAGTAATAAATTAATAATAACTCAAAAATATGTAATTTCCTTTATGCTATCCACTACAAGAAAACAGATTTTTTCCGACGAAAAAAATTCCGTTGGAAATTTTCAACGGAATTCCAACAGAAATTTTTGTGAATATTTTCGACAGATTTTTGACTGAAATATACTAACGGAATTTTTGTTGAAAATCCGTTGGAGATTTTGTTAGCACACACCAAAATTACTCCCTTCAAATTTTTTGACGGAATTTCCAACGGATTTCTGTTGGAAATCCGTCGAAAAAATTAAGTACCTTAAAAAATTTAAAGCCTGTTAAAGTTTTCAACGGAATTTTTTGTTGAAAAAAGGTATTACCAACGGAAATTTTCCAACAGAACATTCCATTGGAAAATTCTGTTGGTAATACTATTTTTAAAATTTTTTTACTTAGAATATTTTAAAATTTTTTTTATAAATTTTATTAATCTTTTATAAAATATAGATATTAATAAAAGTAAATATATGCATGTTGAAGTTTATAATATTTAAAAACGTAAATATGTTTTCCTTTGCTTATTTTTTTACATTTTTGAAAACTTTATTGAATCAAAAATAACTTATATGTTAATATTTTTATTTATAAATTTGTCATGAATTTCGTATATATATATATATATAAGTAATACATATAAACATATACTATTAAAATTTACATAGTATATACTTATATTTATTATAAATAAGTAATTAATATTTTACAAAGTAATAAATTTAGTTAGTAATTAATAAGCAATATATTATAATTAAATAACAAAAGAATTGATTTTAGTTTAATATAAATATATTAAAGTTTTATTTTTATTAACAACTATTCATTTATTAAATTACAGTCGGATAGAGATGTCAACGGGTACCCAATTATAGGGTACCCGCGATTACCCGACTCGGTTATACTTGGTTAGGGTACTGGATAAATGGGTTCGAGTAGTGGTTTCACTACTCGAATTGGTTTCGGGTAGGGTACGAGTATCACTTTTTGGATACTCGTTACCTAAACCTGATTAAATACCCATCTAAATAATTAAAAACAAAACAGATTTTGTCGCTGATATGATTCGAACCCAAGGATAAAAAAAGAATAGCCAAGGCCTTTACCATCCAAACAAAGAATTTCCTTTATTTAATGTTAATGAATATATTAAAAATAAGGCTTCAGCCCTAGTGAAAGGAACTAATACATTATTTTCCTGAGAGCTCAACGTTGCAGCACTGGAAAAGTGGTGCTGCAGCGCTATTGCCAAAACCCAGCACCGCGACGCCATGAAATCAAGGCAGCGGTGCTGGGTATTTTCCAAAGCTTTGGACTATAGCAAAAACCCACCGCGGTGCCAACAAATTAATAAAATTTTTTATAAATTTTATTAATCTCTTATAAAAAATAGATATTAATAAAAGAAAATATATACATACAGAAGTTTATAATATTTAAAAACGTAAATAGGTTTTCTTTTGCTTATTTTTTATATTTTTAAAAACTTTATTGAATTAAAAATAACTTATATGTTAATTTGTTTATTTATAAATTTGTCATTAATTTCGTATATATATATATATATAAGTAATACATATAAATACATACTATTAAAATTTACATATTATATGCTTATATTTATTATAAATAAGTAATTAATATTTTACAAAGTAATAAATTTATTTAGAAATTAATAAACAATATATTATAATTAAATAACAAAAAAATTGATTTTAGTTTAATATAAATATATTAAAGTTTTATTTTTATTAATAATTATTCATTTATTAAATTACAACCGGATAGGGATGTCAACTGGTACCCAATTATAGGGTACCCGCGATTACTCGACTCGGTTATATCGGGTTATGGTACTTGATAAATGGGTTCGGGTAGTGAAGCCACTACCCGAATCAGTTTCGGATAGGGTATGGGTATCACTTTTTGGATACCCGTTACTTGAACCCTATTAAATACTCATATAAATAATTAAAAAAAAAAGATTTTGTCGCTAATGTGATTTAAACCCAAGAATGAAAATAGAATAGCCAAGGCCTTTACCATCTTGGCAAGTAATTTTCTTTATTTAATGTTAACAAATATATTAAAAATAAAGCTTCAACCCTAGTGAAAGGAACCAATACATTATTTTCCCGAAAGCTTAGCGCTGCAGTGTTGGAAAAGTGACGCTGCAGAGCTATTGCCAAAACCCAACGCCGCGGCGCCAAGAAATTACGGCTGCGGCGTTGGGTATTTTCCAAAGCTTTGGACTATAGCAAAAACCCACCGCGACGCCAACAAATTTATAAAATTTTTTTATAAATTTTATTAATCGTTTATAAAAAATAGATATTAATAAAAAGAAATATATACATACTGAAGTTTTTAATATTTAAAAACGTAAATATGTTTTCCTTTGCTTTTTTTTTTACATTTTTGAAAACTTTATTGAATCAAAAATAACTTATATGTTAATATGTTTATTTATAAATTTGTCATTAATTTCGTATATATGTATATAAGTAATACATATAAACATTTACTATTAAAATTTACATATTATATACTTATATTTATTGTAAATAAGTAATTAATATTTTACAAAGTAATAAATTTAGTTAGTAATTAATAAACAATATATTATAATTAAATAACAAAAGAATTGATTTTAGTTTAATATAAATATATTACAGTTTTATTTCTATTAACAATTATTCATTTATTAAATTACAACCGGATAGGGATGTCAACGGGTACCCGCGATTACCCAACTTGGTTATACCGGGTTAGGGTACATGATAAACGGGTTCAGGTAGTGAAACCACTACCCGAATCGATTTCGAGTAGGGTACGAGTATCACTTTTTGGATAACCATTTCCTGAACCCGATTAAATGCCCATCTAAATAAAAAAAAATAAATTTTGTGGCTAATGTGATTCGACCCCAAGGGAGGAAGGAGAATAACTAAGGCTTTTTACCATCTTGACAAGCAATTTCCTTACTTTAATGTTAACAAATATATTAAAAATAGGGCTTCAGTCCTGGTGAAAGGAATCAATGCATTATTTTCCCGAGAGCTCAACGTTGTAGCGCTAGAAAAGTGGCGCTGCATCGCTACTGCAAAAACCCAGCGCCGCGAAGCCAAGAAATCAAGGCCGAGGCGCTAGGTAGTGTTATTGTAAATGAATTAATAAAAATTTATTTATTAATTAAATTGAATCCCTAACCATGTGCGGCTTCCTTTCCCCAAAATTTCCCATTCTTCCCATTCTTCTCTTGAGAGCAAATTTGAAACCCATTTGCTGGCTCACTCATCACTTGCCCAAGACCCATTTCTTTTGATGCTGTGTTGGTTTTTCTACTAAGATCTTCAATTCCCTTTCATCTATCAAGGTGAGGTAAGATTTGCCAAAAGAGGCACAATAAATTTCAGGTTCTAGGGCACAGTCCACACAATCTTTGTGAAGTTGGGGTTGCAAATGAGGGCTCTAGTGTGAGTTCTGCTTGGATGATGTAAGTTTAACAAAGTCCTTTTCTTCTTTTGCTTGATTTGTTTTTGATGAAGTTGTCCGTACCTGTAACTTTTGTCTACTCTGTGACTGCTTCTATGTCGATACATTGTTGTGTGGAATCTTTTAAGGGAGTTTGCTTAAAAGGTTTAGAAGGTTCTGCAGGTTTACGAGAGTTATTAGCATTCCTTTTATTTTCTTGATGTGTAGATACCTATCAAGGCTCTTGGAAGAGCTCAGGGTGAATTAGAGATTACATATTTGGATGAAGAACTGAGGTAAGAGCAAACATCCTGAGACTTAATCCTTCACATGAAACTTGAAAGGTTAACATAAATTATACTAGCATCTGCTTTCCTTTTTCTCTTTTCATTAAAGAACCTTGATTGGGGTTGAATCAATCCTGAGGCAATGTAAACATGACAAGGCAATGAAGCTGATAAATCTATCTGATACATATCTTCTGACAGTACATTGCAAGCTTTAGTTCACTCACACATGAAAATGAATTACGCATACTTCAAACTTTCTACTGTTAAGATGACTGTCAGTGAGAGAGTCTAAAGTGGTCATCATCCATCCTGTCGAGAAGGACTTTGCTTAAGTTGATTTTGGAGCTCCATTGTCAATTGGATGCTCAATGAATTGGCAGCAGCTTAGAACTTAAAGGTGAGTGATAGAATC